GTGTGTGTGTGTGTAGCAGTAAAATGTAAATTATGTCCAAAACTATATTAGTTGTTGGAACTAAGTTGGAAAAATAAATATGAAGGTCAATTAAATTTATAAAAAGTGAGGTAAAGCTCTCCTTTTTAAATTTAATTAGTGCATTTTTAATTGAATTTATTTATTGGTCCATTTATATATTTCTGCTTTTTTTCTAGTTATGTCAGTTTGGGTCCTCCATACTGCAGAACTTGGAAGAGGTAATTTAATGTCTGAATCAGGTGTGTTGGACCAGGGAAAAAACATAAAACCTGTAGGGCTGCGGCCCTCGAGGACCAGGATTGCCCACCCCTGGTCTAATCTAACAAAATGTCATGCAGTTATTCACARAATGAGTCAAATGAAGAGTCGACACACAATGAGTGTAAATGTTCTATTCTTGAACACCGTGTACCACGTAGAACAGATACATCATAAATATTATTCTGTACATCATAATRGCGTAAATACTATGTTCAAATATATTTCTATTTACAGCTCCTTGTTAAGGAGAGCAGCTTTGTTCTCTTTAAAGTAAGGTCTTGGGTTGCTTGTGTTTGTTTGAAACTAACAGCGTGGACATTTCTGGTCGGTTTTGCAGCTCACCTCTTTCATAAAAACATTTTCCAGGATTACAGGTCTCTTAACTTCACTGTTTTCTAAACAGATACAATCAGTTTTCATCAACCACACGTGAAACAGACCATCGAGTACCTTTTAGCTAAAGTTCAAACATTCTGAAACAGGGTTTTCTAAAAGATCAYGAGCAATTAAAGGGATTTTTGAAACAATGTTCTTTTAAATGCTTATAAATGKTACCTTATGAGCCATGACAGCTATCAGAGCGTGGAATTTGGAAAAAACTGCCAAAGTCATTCTCTAGCTAGGCTAGTGGCTAGCCAAACAAGGGCCTGTTTCATGTTTTTCATTCTTATAAAACATTTTCTCATAGACAATATATTGGTGTGAAATACTAACATAGTGTTCTTTCACATTGCTTTTTAGAAGCTGTTTTATTAGCTTGAAAAACACATAAAACGGGCTTGTTTGGCTAGCTGTTTGTTGAGCCTGTTCAAAGATGTCTGCCCCTTTTCTCTTTAATCTGTGATGATGTCACGGCCCAAATTAGCTACATGACAAGTGCTCTAGTAAGTTGTTGCTTATGACACTTGTACTTGGAAGAAAAAAAAAACAATTGTTTTAAAACTTTGGTTTGGTGCCGCTAGAGTAGCCATTAGCTACAGTCAGAAAATACTTTTCCTCGAGCAGGTCATTCAAAGAGCTGTTTACAACAGGTGACTGGGGGGCACAGCAAACAAAATGTTAGCTTCGCTAACTGCCGATCCTTTTAACTAAAAATTTTGCTTTGCAAACGTTAAAAGACTAATTTGCTAGGATAATTAGAGGACGCTAATGCTAACTACTAGCTCAAGATATGTAATCAGGCTGTATTGTCTCTGAATCATCAATCTACTGGGATTAAACCRTATACACTGAGTAACTACATCTCCCAAAGTGCTTTAGGGCATTTTCCTACCAAAATAACCCTTTCTTTATTACAAGAAATTGAGTGGACAAAGGCGACTGTCACCTAATCTACTCCACAGACCTCCGTYATTAACACAGGTGAACACACAAAATGCTGAAGATGCTACACGCGCACACACGACACAGGTGTGCAGCTCTGCGTATGAGGGGATATTTGTTTCTGTTTTCATTAGCAGATAAAAGTTAACAGATATCAGTTTAGCGGAAGCTAATTGGTTCGCCAACAGTTTCCAAACTTAGCAACAATGCTAATCCGCTAAACGAAACATTAACTTCGCTATTAGCTGTTAGCAGATAAGCAGAACTGTGCCCACCATYTCTGGTTATATAATAAATGTTCATAAACTTTCAATAATACCCCCATTGCAGAAGATGTGAACCGTGGCTTCAACATAAAAAAATATCAAATTATAAATCAGTCATCAAGGCAGGATGATACACAGGTTTAAGGTCCACACAGTTTTTAGCTCAGTCACTGAGTAGTTTGTCTCCATGTGCCTATTTTTATGCAAACAGGTCAATATAAGGCTTGTGTGTATTCCCAGGCTTTCAGATGAAGCCTAACTGGTTTGTTCWGCCGATTCGAACACTGACAGTTTTCCAGTCCAACACAGACGGGYAGTCCTCTCCAAGAATCCTTTCCAGTGCAACCTTTTCCCCATAAGTCTGATGGGGGATCACTTCCTCCGCAGTGCTACAGTACATTAACAGGATTATTTAT